GTCTCAGCAACAAGAAAAGTATCTAAGACAAACCCCTATTCTAAAATTCCAGAACCAAATCATAAATTTCCCATCGAATCTCCACTTTTATATGCTACAGATATACAATTTAAGCAAAATGTGTGCAAACCTGAACTGATCATTTCTCCCCAGCCTTTCCTTAACTTACTCTTCAGTGTTTTATATTTCTGTGAAACACATCAAAATCTACCATATTTCCCAGCCAAATGCATGAATATAGTGCTTTTCCTGCCTTTTCTATTGTACCTTTTCATGTTTGTGGTACTAAGGCTGTAAGCCAGGGTCTTCCACATGCTAGTCAAGTGCTTTACCACCGAACAGCAACCTCAGCCCTCCCTTGGGCCTTATATCACATGGATAATTCCTATTGCTACTAGCTCTTAATCATTTCCAGAAGACTGTATCACTTTACGTCTTGCAAAGAAAATCACACTAGTTATTTAAACAAGATTCAGTCAATAAAAGAATTTGTTCAGTAGATAGTGGAGGACTCAAAAAACAAGCAGAGTATTGAGGTAACAGAGATAAGAACTACAGTAGGAACTACCACCCTTTGGACCAAAGGAACAAAGACCAGAAGCTGATGTTATTAAAACTGGGAAAGACCCCAAGATTCTGAAACTCAAGCCTTGAGAGGCCATTTTCTAGCTGCTTCTGGAACCTACATTCTCATGGGAAAAATGGCAAGAAGTTGAATTAGGGGAGAAGAACAGCCATGCTGCGGCCCCCAACAGGTGTGAATGGGCTGGCTCCCAGGGTGTGGGAATGAAGCTGGACCAGTAGCTGCTTCTAGGATGAAGTGCTACTGCTGAGATGATGCTGACAGGTTCCATAAACATGTAGGGATGAGTAGGTGTCTCTTTCTACTTCCCCGTAGTCTCTGAGGGCAGTAGCGCTGGTGGGGATGGGGGCTTACTGGAAGCTTGAAGAGTGCCGGTTCCAGCATCACAGGACAAAACAGAGGAGAAATATACAATGGGTGCCAGGAGATGGAAGCCTAACGACTCATTTTCAGTAGGCTGCTATTCCTACCTCCCAAACCGTAGAGTTCATTCTCTCAGTCTTTGTGGCTGTTCTCTACGCTTGGGTCACCATTAGCTCTCAGCAGACTTAATGTGCACGCGTTCTACCTGGTCGGGTTCTTTCTCCTCTTGCCTTTTTCATATCCATTCTCCATATGACACACTGAACTTCATCACATAAGTGAAATTCTGACCATGACACTTGCTTAGGTTCTGTGGACCATACACCCTGCACCTCCTTGGAGAAAGTCTTTGGGATATGTCACTGGACAGGGTCCCAGCAGATTTCTGCAAAGTGGAGATGGGCCACCTTGACCCACCCACCTATGGAGCAGATTGCAGCCTTGCTGACCTCACAGAAAATGAATTTTAAGCACGTCAGTAAAACGCATAGAGCAGTTTATCAGGCAGAATTTTTAAGGTATATGTTACGTGTCATTCTATTCAGGGTGTCAGTCCCAAGCATGAGGTACCCACGGATGAATATAAAAGTAAGAAAAAAAGAAAACCAAAATTCTGGGATTGGGGGGCTTGCAGCCTCTTGGACTGCCGAGCCAATTTCCAGTTTCAGTAACTCTTTATTCAGAAAGAACAAAAGAAGCAACCATGCAAATGGAAAGATCTCAACCAATTTAGCAAGGACAATAAACAAGACTTGACTAATTAGCCATCATGTTATCATTCCTTAGGGGATGCGATTAGTGTTGATCCCCGGGTTTTCAATACTTTTGCTAGACTTCCTCCAGAGCCCAGCAATCAAGGCTTGGTCAGGCCTGAGGCAATACACAAAAGAGTAATGAAAGGATGTCCTTTTCCACAGTTATGGTCTGCGTCTGGATGTCCCCCCACTGCCCCCCCTCCAAGCCTTATGCAGTCATGAGGCAGGTTTCTAGAGTTTTTGATTGATTCGTGGTCCAGTGTTGGAATTATGGATGTGAGTGCTACACCTGCCCTGGGGCGGATAGTTTGCATACAATGTAAGCGAGGGAAAGAGGCTGCTTGCCACTGCTCCTCCCTTTTGCTCTTGCTGTTTTTGTTGAACTGTTGCCCTCTGCCATGTGCCACTCTGCCTTGGACCCAGCTGAGTATAGACTGAAACTTCCACAAACTGTGAGTTAAATAAACCTTTCCTTCCTTAAGTTTGGGTGTCAGGTATTTTGTCTCAGGAATGACAGAAAAGTAACCAAGACAGTACACATTCAGAGAATGGAATGTGGGCCCTTGAGGAGAGAAAGCAGACCTGTGGCCTTGAGTTGGGTAAGTTTATGGGAATTTGGGGGTATCCTTGAAATGATTTGTCTAGAATGCATATCCTAGTATTTGTCAGTTTTGCCCATTCCGTGGGCTGTATTAGAATGCGAATCATTTACTGTGTTAAAGCTGAGCTATGCTGTCCTCTCAGTACGTAGTATACTTTCTAGGTCTGTAGGAGACGGTGCAGTTTACAGGTGAAAAGCACAGGCCGGGAGCCATTTTTACAGACTTACTGTCTTTGAGGCCCTTAGGAAATTTTCCTGGAAGGAAAAGAAAAAAGCTGCAGTGTTTCTTAAAAAGTAGAATTTTAATATTACAAGTTTCTTTGTCTCCTTTCTGTCTATCTTTGTTTCTCCTACCTCAGGATAGACCCTACTGGAGGCTCCTGCTCCTCACAGGAAGTTAGATGCGTCAGCTGAGGTGGGTCTCATCTATAGCCAGCCCCAGATGGATGCCTCTCAGTTTAAGGCCTCAGCATCTGACTTAGAAATTGTTTCTTGACCTAAGATATTGATGTGTGAAAGGCATTTCCTGGAACTTGTTTTTCTTGATCTGCCTTTGTAATTACAGGCTCAATTTGCTAGAGAGTGAACCCTGAATGCATCTTTGGAAACTGCTTATGACTATTTTGACAGTATTTCTGACTACATTATTTTCTAATGCCATAGTTGATCAAGTTCTTCTCTTCACCTGTTGGTAAACTTAGACCAGGGTCCCTCTAGCAGTATTTTGGACAAGACAATTCTTTATTGTGAGACAGTGCCCTGAATTCTGTGGGATGTTCAACACCACCTCTGGCCTCTACCCATAGATGCAAGTAACAAGCTTGCATGTCCAGGTTGCCAGCAAAAAAGTCCCCAAATGTTGCTGAGATCTTTAGCTTTCAGTTAAAAAAAAAAAAAAACAAAATTTTCAGTGCAGGTATGTCCTGGGTAGTATTTCGGAAATTTATTTGAAATGGAAATCTAACTAAACACCTTATATTTTTATTTATTAAACATGGCAGTTCATCTGGGGATAAGATCACCCCTGGTTGAGACTCAGTGGTCTGCAGTTAAATGCAAGTGTTTTACCAATTGCAGTGACTCAGCTGGCTTTTTATTGGTTTGGTTTTAGAGTTAATCATACATTGAAACTGTTACTCTTTTGTTAATATAATCTGTATTCTTCCTTTAAAACTGAATGACATCAAGAAAGACATACAGAATCCAATGAAATGAAGTGTGATGCAGATAGAAAATTTAAGAAAACTTTATTGTTCACTCAGGAGGCAAAGAGCTTGGAGAGATATAGCAAAGAGGCAATGGCATGAAGAGTTCTGTCCACAGAATTTAGTTATAAGAGACAACCAAAGGTTACGAAAGACTTGTGTAAGGCAGTGAAGTACCCAAGGAGAAAATAATGTTAAATGTGTTAGGAAACTAAAGAAATGCAAAGTAAAACTAAACCAAAGAGGAAGTCAACTGCAATGTTGGTGGGTATTACAGATTTCCATTTCCTCCCACAGAGTTAGCTAAACCCTGGGATGTTGGTCTCAATGATAACCCCTCCACAGCATAGTACAGTATGTAATTCTTCTTATGACAACTGCAGAAATAACCCAGAATATCCATCAGAAGAATCTGAAAAATTTCCCTACATATACATAGCATAGGCCTTGGACCCTGTCCCCTAATCTCTGACTACTAAAGAACCTCAATTGACTGGAAAAACCATATCAGTCTATTTGACTTGGTAGTACTGTTTATTTTATGGGTGTGTGTTGGGTATGTCAATTGTGTGAAAGTTTAAGACAGTACTTTGATATACTGGTGTTAAATAAAGAGAAAATGTTTGAATAATTGGCCTTGTATGTAGCACACAAAATGTTCACAGTGTTCAAGAGATTTAACATATTACCATGCTTGACCAAATAAATTGACAATTTGGTTTAAAGTTATAAATAGAGTAACTGATTTTAGACTTATAATTACTAAATTAAACATTATAAAAGAGTTTGGATAACTTGGTAAATAGTATTAGGGTATTTTAGACAATTTCAGATTTATTATACTAGTAAGCTGAGAATTAGAATAGTAGTCACGACAGGCCCTAAGGAGAATGTGGGAGAAGTGGGTGAATGACTGCGCTGAAATATAGTTAGATAGGAGGAGTAAGTTCTGGTGCTCTATAGCACTGTCTGGTGATGACAGGCCACAGCAGTTTGTTGTGCATCTTATAAAGAGCTAGTAGATAGGAGTTAGAGCATTTCCAACACACACAAAAAATGATGACTGTTTAAGGAGATAGAAATGCAAATTACCCCAATTTGATCATTGTGCATTTGTACTGCATCATCACCTTATGCCCTTTAAATGTGCATAATTATTGTGTCAGTTAAACTTAAAAAATAAAAAAGTTCATTTAATTTGTTAGTTTACAAGACTGTTTAAACAGTTCGGAGGTATTCCTTGTCAGCAGTAACTTTTGAGGAATCTGGAGATTGTTCCTTAACCCTTTGCCAGGCACGTACGGTTTTCACAAGTGAGTCTGTTGGCCGGTAGCCTTTCTTAATGGCCACTGAAAACCAGATTTCAATTACAGGACATGTCTTAAACAGGACGTGTCCTATTTTGAACCCTGAATCCTTCCTGTTAATTTAGGAACTTTTCACCCTACCCCCTCCACTGTGCTTCCTTCTTTCTTTTACACTACCACTGGCAGAGCAAATATGACTCAGAAACTGGCTCCTCAGGTTGTAACATGCAATGATATATGGCTTGGGTCATTACACGGTAAGCCGATGCCTTTGTTCCTCTAGGTTGATCTCTGTAGAAGGAACAAATTGCTCTCTGCATTGCTGAAAAGCACTCAGAGGTGTGTAAGGAAAAGCCTTGCCACAGCTTGGGCTTCTAGGGACCTTTCTCTCCGGAAAGAAGTTTGATTTTAATCAGAAATATCTGGAAGATTTAAGAAGCCCTAGAAGCGAAGCAGGTCTGTGAAGGAGCAACATGGGAATCTTATACTCTGAGGTAAGTCATGTTTTTGAAAGTAGAATCCCAAAGGTATTAAAAATTATTCACACTTTTCAAATGTCATTTCCTTTTCCTATTCCTATGTCTCCCTTTCTTCTGTTTAATTTTCTGTGTGAGTGTTAAGTCAGAGCAGATAAAGTCTGATGTGCTGATATTTTAAATATTTCAACGCAAGCTATTTTACAATACCAAAAAGTTAGATCTAGGTTGAGAGCAGCAGTGTTTTCCAGATTAATTTGAACCTTGTAAAGTGGAATATAAGTCATGATTTGCTTGTGCTAAATACCTAAACAGAAAGTGAAAATTGTACTTAACCAGAGTTTTTAAACATTCAAAAAACTGACCTGTTTTTCTATGAAGTTGCATGAATGGAGCACAGGTCTCAGCTTGGTATGTAAAAAGAAAAAAATTCACCTCTGGCAATTAGTAAAGACCATCACCAAATAGAAAAGGGATGAAAACAGAATATTCATGATACTCTCAGTATTTTTTCATATGTGAAGAGAATACTTTTTCTGTATGGAGAGTAACTTATTAGAATCAAATAAAATTTTAATAATGTTTCAAAGAGTACAGAGAGTGGTGTTTAAACAGGAGTACAAGAGGTGTGACGAAGTTATTGTGCACGACTTGCTCCTTTTCCCTCTGAGGCCATGAACTAGTTAGCCTGCATTCCATTCTAATGCTCACGGGAACCTCCTTTGCTGGTTTTGATCTTCTAGCATTAAAGGCAGTCTGTTTGCTCTTCTTTCTATGCCACTTGTGTATGTTTGTCTGCCTATGGTAGATGTGCATTTGGATCATTTTATCATTCCACACATGCGCTGCTCCGTGATTTTAGTCTCAAGAAGAAATCATGTATATGAAAGTGACAGAGCACACAATGTCTTAAAATGCTCTTCTGTCATTCTGAACTTCAGACTGCCTGTGTGACTGGGTGACTTGTTTGTGACACAGTTTTGAGAGCACCCAAGAGTCTGACTGTGGTAAGGGCCAGAAAACTACTTTTAAGAGAACATTGCGCAGGTGGGTGATGTGGGTGATCAGTTTACCATCACCCCGGAGAGAGAAATGCTACTCTAGGCTAGTGCTTTTCAATTTTTAATGTACATGTAGATAAGCTGAAAGTCTGGTTCAAATGCAGGTTCTTATTCTATAGAGCTGCTTGAAGCCTAAGATTGTTCATTTCAGCTTCCTACTACTCGTTCTTCTGAACCGTGGACCACACTGAGTAGCCAGGCTCTGGCCCAGGTCCAAGGAATAAATATATTAAAAAACAAACACACAAAAGAACCCTAGAAGAGTATTCCAATTTTCTGTTGGTTGGGTGTCAATTTGACAAGGGTTGAGTCAAGGCAAGGCAAGGCAAGGCATGTTCAATTGTGTTTAAGTGTCAGTAAGAACGTTCCCAGAAGTAGCATAAACGTTTCACTTTTCAGACAAATGGAGTAACCTGGAGTTTCCTAAGAAATTTTAAAAAGAAATACAATAACTACACACACAAACACACACACGTACACATACACACACACACACACACACACACAGAGGCACCATAAAAAGTCCTAACTTACCTAGAGGCTCATAGGTATTTATTCAAAGCTCATGATGTTGAGTCATGGATAGTGTACAGCACCCTTGAAATAAATGCTTTTCCTTGCAACACAGTATCACAAGAGGAAGCAGATTCTAGGCTCGCCCCTGTGCCAGGTGTCCTTGTCTGTTACTCTGGGATCAGCAGTGTGAAACATGGGAATCACCTGGGGAGTCTTAGTCATTTAGGAAGATGTTTTTCCTTTTGGAAAATCATTTTTCTGTTCAAAGGATGTCCCCTGGTTGTCAAATTTTGATAACTTAACTGCTACTGAGTTATAAAATGTCCAGGATTACAACAATGTGACTTGACCTATGGATTAAAGTGCTGAGGAGACGTTAGTGCTTTTAGAGTGTAAGGAAGCTTTGGTCACGTTTTCTATGTGCAGGTAGGAATTATATGTGAATTGTGGGGGAAAAGCCTGGTCTCATCCTTCGCTATTCTGATGCTGAAACGATTAAGGTTAGAAATGCCTTTTTTTAAACCTCTGAAAAAGAGGTGAGAATTGAAAGTGCTTACTACTTGGGAACCCAGGAAGGACTGCAGTGAAATGGTAAGTAGGTCATGTCAAAATCCTACTGAAATTTTCTATAACACGTAGAACCAAATCCAAAATCCTTACTGTGGATCCCAAAGCCAGTGTTCTTGGGTCCCCACTGGCTCTTACATTTCCTGCCCTGCCTATGCTCACGCAGCTGCCCCAGCCCCCTCGCTGGTTCCAGAGCACACGGATCAAGCTCCCGTGTAAGAGGCCTAATATTTGAGTTTCCTTCCTCTGGGAAGTTTCTAGCCATAGATCTTTGATCAAATCTCCCTTGTAAGAGATATAAGAGTAGTCTTGCCATTCTCTATGTGTACTTTACTTCTCTTTAAGTATTATAATTTAACATACTTTCTAGTTTATTAGATTATTTATTGTATGTTATTTTATTTGGGGGATCCTTAGGTATTATTTCTATGATTCTTAATTTGGCTGATGTTGAAGATGAAGGCATAATAATAGGCTCCCTGCTTTAAATGTCAGTTTCATGAATGTTCATTTCCTTTGTAGAAAATAATATAGTAGGTTAGGTGAGAGTTGTAAGAATGTAAAATCTACATACTTGTTTTTCTCTGAAGAGTATGCCAAGATCATAAGGCCAGGAACAACCCAGGGCACACACCACAACCCAACCCTTTGGTAACTGAGGCAGAAGGATTGGAAGATTAAGCCCTGCCTGCAAAATTTAGTGACTTAGTGAGACTCTATGTCAAACTTAACAATTAAAAAAAACATCAAAGGATACAGCTCAGTGAGAGGTTCATGGCTTCAATTCCTAGTACCACCAAAAAAGAAAACGAAAATGGCCAAGTCAACAAAAATTCTTTCAACCTATATCCCTTGGAGGAAATTCTTGATTATAGGGGATTCTTAATTTATAACAGCTCATTTTTTGCTTTTATGACTATATGTATTTTAGATACACTACGTAGCAAGAACCAAAATTTATCTTTGACATCAAAATAATTCAAATATCCTTGCCACCAGTGCCCATACCTTTTTCTAGTCAATTGATGTCACTAAAACAAAAACACTGAAAGCTGGAAAGCAGTTTCATTACCTTGATGTTTGATCAGACCATGTGAATCTTCACACATTTAGCATGCATTTCTGCAAGGCAACATTGCTGTGGTACATGCTTACGACCAGGGGAGGGAAGGACTTTATGGGGGGCTTTAGTTTTCTTCCTTTTCTTTCCCCCATCTCCTCCCTTCCTCCCTCCCTCCCTCCCTTTCTTTCTTTTTCTTACTTTCTGATACTGAGGATTGAACCCAAGGTTTTTGCACCGAGCTGCATCCCCAGCCCTTTTTTACTTGGAGACCAAGCCTCATGGAGTTAGTAAATTGCCCAGGCCGAGCTCAAATTTACTGTTCTCCTGCCTCAGCCTCCTTGAGTGCTGGGATTACAGGAATGCACCAGCAAGCCCACCTTTCAGTACTGTTTATGAGTAAACTTATAGCATCACAAACAGCTGGCCTTTGAAAAGCATCTAGATTTTCTATGCTCTAAAATAAGGTGGGAAAGAGTCTGTCTAGCAACCTCAGGTTATCACATTTCTGTATTGGTGAGTTAGAATTCCTTCCTATCCCAAGCACTCAAAAACAAGAACTGATTACAGGCAAAAGAGGTAAAGTGAGCAGAGAGGAAGATTTTTGCAGAGAACCCTCTGTGAAGATGAGGGTGGGGAACGGGGGCTTCACAGTGCCTCTGAGGAAACCAGCTTCTCTGACAAGTGGTGGTGATTTCCGGGATGTAACGTCAGAAAGTCATTACATATTCGAATGAAAAGCCAGAAAGTCTGGGAAATGCTATACTTTTCTCTTTTACGTGCCTAGAAGAAGGAATTTATTAAGGACTTTGTAAATCACAGAATGTGAAGTAGCAAGTTATAAGAAAGAAAACCTTAGGATTGATTTTACAAATCAAATAAAGCCCAATGCATAGTTATTATCATCTCTAAGATTTCTTAATTGGAAAAGGAAAAACATTATTTCCTTTTCTGAAAAGACATTTCGTTAATGCAGAGTTTGCTTTATTCGAGTAATTTTGCCTTATCTCTTCAGAAACTTTTATGGAACCTGTAAACGAGTAAGGCTGCCTGCTCTCTGTGGACTGATTCTGCTGAGCCACAGGCAAAGTTGCCCCTGCCTTTTCCACTCTTTGGAGAGCTGTGGAGCTCTCTGACATTTTATGGGAAGCCACACTGGAATATGGGGATAGCTGGGGGAAGCTGGGCTTTTGGAAATGTCCAGAATGGCAGTTTGCAAATTTCTAGATAACTAAAATAATGTCAAGTATCTTTCCAGCTGTGATCTGCATTATACTGAGAGCAAGGCAAAACATAATTATGTCAAATAAAATGCACAATCATCAGCGAGCTGGGTGTATCGTTTGATCTCCATACACACTTCTCACTTCTTTAGTGCCCAGAAAAGTGAGGTGGAATGCGGACAGGAGTGGCATTTCACATCAAATTCATGGTCATTTTTAAAACAGATGTATGGGTAGTCTAAAAGGTGCATAACATTGTTCTTAACATTCCAAGTTCCCAGAGTTCAAACGCTCCTTAGTGAGTATGAGCTTCAAAGTTGCAATATGACATGGCTCCTCTTCTGTCCTGAAACCTGTTTCCTTTACCTTTGCAGAGGATCTTAATCCTCACTGTGCCTCGGAACCACTGAGGAGCTTTCAAACAGCATCGATGCCCTCACCTTGTTTCTGTAAATTCCAACTGAAGTAGCCAGTAAAATACGGACTAGATTCACACATTGCTTTCTGAACCTTTACCCCTTCCCTAAGCTCACTTCCCAGCCCAGTCAGGTGGATCAGGTGTCAATCAACAGGCAATTTTTATCCAGACAA